CAGGCAAAAAAACCCCCAAAAAACTCTGTTACATCACTAAGTATGGGGGTGTGTTACCTATTAATAGATGACCAGAATATATGGGTTACAACTCTATGAGTTCATTGAGGCTAAGACTAAATATTATTCATCTCTCCACCCCTCGCAGAGTGCCTGGCAGGCACCAGTCTTGTTTGCTGAATGAGTAAGTAGATGGGAAGAAGTCTGCATGGAGTGTTTGCAAGTTTCCACGGTAATGAAGCCTCTTAAGTCTGCTATGCATCCCTCTTTCCCAAATGTAAGAAAGAACGGGTGATCTCTGACCTCTCTGAAGTGGGAAAGTTCTTTTTCCAGCTTGGATTGGGAGTGGCCTTATACTGTGGGGCCGATCAAGAAGAGTTCCGGTGGTCTCAGGAGAGAGGTCTGTATTGCACACAAAGGCCCAGCCACTGGCCATGCTCCTTAAGAAGATGGAATGTCAGTGAGCCAGGAGACGTGTGGGACTGTGTGTTCGTAACACAAATGCTTGCATAAGGCTTGCTACGCATCAGGCCCTCTACAAAGATTAACTCATTAAATATTCACAAGTCTATGAGATAAGCACTCTTGTAATTCTCACTTCACATATATGAAAAACATGACACGGAAAGACCCAACAACTTGAATGAGATTCTATAGCTAGCAAGTGACAGCTTCGATCTAGACAGCCTAACCCTGGTGACTGTGATGCTTTTTTTATTCCCCACCTCTCTGGGAAGAATCGTGCTATTATTTGTGACCCCAGGGTCATGGCATTTGGGAGGAAGGGGTAACTTTTACTAAGCAAGAAAAAGGAGAAGAAGAAGAAAGAAGAGGAAAGGGAGAAAGTTGGAAGAAGAAGGGGACAGGAAGAGAAGGAGAAAAGAAAAATGCCATTTTTTGGTGACCTTAGGAAAGACATATAACCTTTCTGTGTCCTAAAGTTACATGTAGTAATTTGCTTTGTCATGAAGCCAATGACAAAATTTCATTTTTCTTTAGAGCATTAGAGATTCTCTGGCAAATGATGTCTTTTAAGTGCCCAATTGTAATACTATTAATGATCTTTATTTATAGAGGTACAATGTTCTCGTATTGTACCTGAAGAAATGAACCAAGAGTGTGTGTGGAGGGCAGGAGAAGGGCTTCGCTCCTTGATGAAAGCCATTAACCTAAGTCTAGCTCTTCATGTCCCATTGAATCCTAAATGTATTATCTTATTTTTAAATCAAGGAAAAAAACTCGGATATGGCAGGTAATTAAAGTCATTCTGAGAAAAGTGTGCACATGTGGGTTGTATTGCTAACCTTTGAACAGAAAGCAAATAGCCAAGTTTGGGAAGGTCCGAGCACTGGATGAACGTTGACCTATTTCAGATACTTCTGTGACTCATCCAAAAAGCTCCAGATCACAAGTTCAGCGTCTAAATGGAAACACAAATGCCATAGTATGGAGATTTTCCTCACTTCAATGACTACCCTTCCTAAATCAAGAAACATTCTAATTTGAGGTATACCAAAAATAGCATTGGTCCATATGGAGCCACACATTAGCATTTTCTATAAATAGGCACCATTTTGTCAGAGGCCCAAGTCTAAAATGAAAACTTTATATAATACTATGACCATGTTTTGATGTCAAGAAATTCTCAATCACTATTCTGGTGCCATAAAAAGAAATCTAAAATGGGCTTATTTCTATTTTTTGCTGGTGATTAAATATCACGGTCAAGATTTTTAAATCATCCCGGTGTTGTGCAGGAAAAAAAAAAATGGGAAGAGCTAGGAAAGCAGTAATTTCAAAAAAGTAGGCTTCCCAATATCCTACAGAATATGGTCACAGAGTAAGAAAGGGTCCTTAGAGAAGACAGAGGAAGTCTTTGTGCCAAAAAGAAAACATCTCATTCAGCGTAGCAAATACTTGTGAGGAAATCAGAAGCAAATAGAATCTTCAACATACTAAATGCACTTTGCCATTGTCCTCACTCTTCCCCATATCTTCTTCAAACTCGTCTGATTTCCTTCAGATGTCCTATCACAAGAAGGAAAAGCAATTTCCTAAAACAAATATATATACTTAAATTTCTACTTCCAATGCAGATGAGTAGGAAACCAAAAGACATATTTAGAGGTTTCGCACAGAAAAAGCAGCACCACGATGGAAGGCAGACTTGGCTCAAGCTCTGAGACCATCAGCCTCTGTGACTTTGTACACATCATTTGGTCTCTTGAGACCACAGTCTCCTTTTCTGCAAAATGGAATTACTACCTGCTTCGCTCTCAGATTGTTATGAAAATCAGGTGATATGATGCCGTTGTATGTCCTATACCATGATGTGCTCTGAACACATCAGATGCTATACAGGATCTTCTTTTAAAAGTTCTTAAACTCTTCCTGCAAAAAAGCATGGGATCTATATTTCTTTGTCAAAAGGGGGGAGACTTACAAATGCTCATGAGTTAATAAAGCCAAAGAAGCATCAAAAATGTTGATTTTTCCTCTTGATGCAATCAGGGTGGTACAAGAACTAAAGCCGGAATAACAGTCATTTGATGTTTAATGAATATAATTTAATCCTTCGGAAAGACTACGTCATCTTCGTCTCACCTAAAACCACTCTGTTCCATCAGTGATGGGCACCCCACACTTTAGAAAACACCAATCTAGAGAATCCTTGTACTTCTAGAGGTAGAATTCTGGGTTTCTGTTGCTAAGTGATTTAACTAAAGGCACAACTTCATGCAGTTGCAAAATTGGGCTAAAAAGTATAAGATCTTTATACTTTTTAGTATAAAGACATCTTCAAGGTCTTTCAGCTCTCCTCACAATCGACTAAGTTGTACATGATTTTTTTTTACAAACTTTTTTTTACAAACTGATAGACTACATATGAATAACAGACAGGTCCCTCAAACAGTTAATGACCTCTGGGAACTGGGATTTCACTACAGATGGTTAGCAATGGAAAACAAATCTCGAGTTGTTATCAAAATTAAACACCTGCCGATGAATGATTAGATCTATCAAGTGGCTAATGAGAAGAGTGTCTTCTTGTGTTGTTAATCATGTATAGCATTTATGTATGCTTAGTACTGCAGAACCCTCTAGACCCATCCACATGGGTTGCCTGTCAAGTAGAGTGCTCATGTCTTGACCCTTCAGGAAATTTGGTGACACAGATGGGATCATGTCACTCTCCCGCAGGTTCCTCATTACCTGTGGGATAAAATCCAAAGTCTCTAACACCATCTCAAAAGTCTCCCATGATCTTCTCCATACTCACCCCTTTTGCAGCACCATCTTGTTTCACTCTTTCTTTGCTCTCCATGTTCCAGCCATACCGACCCTATTTTTTCAATCTGGGCTTGTTGGCACTATCTCATCAGCCAAGAATGCTCTTACTGAGCCCCAACACCTCCCCAATCGTGCTATGCTCCTGTATTCTTCAAGTGTCAGATTAAACAGCACTTCCTCAAAGGAGTCTTCCCTGTACCCCCAGACTAGATTATATCCAACTGTCACAACTTCTCTACTTTCTTTTTCAACTTCATCTGGATCATTCTCCTTTTCTAAATATTCATAGTATAAATCTACTTGGGGTGCAGAAGCCGTAACCCCGTCCTCCATCGAGCTGCATGACATTCCAGGATCCTTGGTACAATTCCGTCATGAGGAGTGCACCCTCCTCAAAGCTTAGGGCACCATATTGTCCAATCTAGTGGGCTCAGGTAATCCTCACACAATCCTGGGGCACAGAAGGATATCCTCAAGCCTGCCATCTTGCTTTCTGGAAGCAACAAAATTTGTTATGCTTTCACATGAAAGCAAATGTTATAATTTGCTTCTCAGGTAGTCACAGTGATGAAGAGAGGCCTTGGAGTAATGAGAGAAAGTGGCATAAGGGAAAGAGTACTGGACAAGGAATCAGAAGAACTAGATTCTAGTTCTAGCTCTGACCTTAAGCATCCAGCTCTTACAGCTAAAATACCTTTCCCTTTTCAATTGTACAGACCTTTTGCCTACAGGGTTCCCATGAGCACCAAATGAAATACTTATATTTTACTGCTTGTATAGGGGAGTTTCTGGTTCTTCAATTATGGAAAAAAATGATAAAACTATAAAATGCTAGGCAAAGTATGATAATTTTGTCACTGGTCCTTGGAAGCAGTTTTATCCTCCTGATTTTGGACAGAATCTATGAAGAGTAAAGTGATTTTTCATTCCCTGCCATCTGATGGCTGGTAAAGATAGCCCAGTTCTCACCAGGCCAGTTAGTGAAGGTGGAGTTAAAAGTTACATCCGGTTTGTCTTCAAGAGGCAACAGGGCAGTGACTGGGTATCAGGTACCTCCCTTGCTTTCCCTCGTTCTTCTCTAGCATGAAAACTCTCTCCAGATGAAACAGTCCATATTAAACCTCCTGTGGGTCAGTTTCCTATTGGCTTATGTCAAGGCTTGACATAAATGGTGATCAGAATCATAGGTCAGAGAAGTTACCACCTACAGGAAGTGGTTTTAGAAGAAACATAAGTCCCATGTCTCCTCAATGGTGCTCAAATTACTGAGATGAAAGCTTTCCCCCCCCATAATTAGAGATGAAGTTGAAATTTAAATCTTCATGTAAGTAATACAGTAAAGTTTTGCCATGGTGCTAACGAGTAAGGCTTTTTTTTGATAAGAGCACTTGCAGAAGAGGGTATTAGACACATGCCATATAAAAGGAAAAAAGAGAGACAAAGAAAAAAAAAGAACCAAATTCATCTTCTGACTTTACTCTTTTAGGTTCTGAGACATTAAAATGGATAATTATTTTTAAGTGTACTGTTGTTGTTGTAGTTTTAAATTACCATAGCTGAAATAACTGTGGTGAGAAAAATACAGGAAGAAATAACTCCTGTCTAAACTCAATCCCCACAGTGCTTTCCTGGGTTCTAGAATATTCCTCAGAAACACGTAGTGACAAGGAGCCAGGTTGACCTAATGTTGACATTGTTTCTAACTGCAGACTTATCAATGAATCTCTGAGGGACCAGCTGTTGGTGACCATCCAGAAGACTTTCACGTACACTCGGACCCAAGCCCAGCATCTGTTCATCATCCTCATGGAGTGCATGAAAAAGAAGGAATTGGTATGTCAACAGCGTCCCCCATGAGTGGCAGAGCCCTCTCCATATTCCCTTGGTCCGTCAAAACATTTTCTTGAATCACACGCCAACTGTTCTTCATTTCCAGCCAAGCTCACAACATTCCTCAGCTTCCATTGGGTCCTGTAGCCTCCTCCCCTCAGTAGCTAAGACACTACTTTTTGTGCCCAGATTTAATGAAGTGTGCACAGCCGGGCTTCCGCACCCTAGTGAAGCTCACCCAGTGCTTCCGATTGCCTCCACCAAATGAGTTGAGGAGAGAAAATAGGTATCCTCCTGGAAAATGCTTCCCTTCAAGGCTTTCCCTTTGTTTGGGAGTAGGGAATCACTGATGGGCTTATTGTCAAATATCTTAGTGACACAGGACTGCTATGCTAATATGCTCATCCATGCAGGTAGAAAAGGGAGGGACGTGCCCGCAGAATGCTGGAAACTTCCGTAGCTTCTGAAGTGTCCTCCAATAGCTACTGAAACATTTCTTACATCTGGTGAAAAGTGTCTTGCAAATGTGGTATCATCACAGAGACCTTCTGTTAGAGTGAACAGAAATAACATGAGCTAACATTTAACGAGTACTTGCTATGTGCCAGGCAGTATGCTAAGTCTTTACATGTATTAACTCCCGTGATCTTTACAACGGACCCAAGGAGAGAGGCGGGATCGTTATCCTCACCTGACAGATGAGGAGATGCAGACAGACTTGATTACTAAATGAGGAAGCAGGACTCCACACCGCAGTATTTCATCTCTGTGGAAAATGTTCTTAGCAGAAATCACCCCACCAAAGCCCACTCTGAGCGGATTCCCTGCCCACCTCCGCGGGCAGAACCTATCCTCAGAGGTCACAAGAGTCTGCCTGCTGACAGGGGAAGTTAAAAGAGCAGTTTAAATCAGAGCAGAAGCCTCACTCAGGCTTTGAACCACCTCAAGGCCACGTGGGCATCTGGGGACACTGGGGAGGGGACACCTCACCTCCAGAGGGGCACCAGGGCCAGACCCTGACAGGTTCAGCCACAGGGAAGCAGAGAGGGTTGGGAGGGCCTGGAGTGAGCCACTTTCAGCCAGCTCCCCCACTAGACCCTAAGCTCCTCCAGGCACGGTCTGGAGTCCTCTTGCTCACGATGGTGTCCCTATGCCCAGGACAGTGGCTGGCATACACCAGAGCTCACTGAGACTGCCAGGAAGAGGGGGAGCAGGGGAAGTAGGCAATTTCTGAGTGTAAAAAGCCAAACATTTGGGAAAACTGGCTTTGATTCAAGTTAAACAAGACCCATGTCCAGAAAGCATCTGCATGACCTCTGTGAGAACCTTCAGCCCCTTCCAGGTTTGGGGCAGAAGTTGCCACCTCTAATCCTTGAGTGTCCAAGGTAGTCTGGCCACCTGGTATAGAGAAGCCAGTGCACAGATGGGTTTCACAGCCAGGACTGCTGCTGCCCACAAGGAGACTATCAGTTCAAACTCTTCCTCTAGCCCCAAAGTGGTACGTGAACCCCTGAACCTGCCACACGTAGGATGGATTTCTTGCTGACTGCCTGCTAATGGCTTTCCAATGCCAACCATGAGAACTTACCAGAACTCTCCATTTCAGAGGTCCTGTAAATTTCCTAGAAAAGCAGTTAGTATTAAAATTCCAGGAACCACTGGGAAGTCGTAAAACCGAATGAAGGTGAATGCCCTCTCCAGATGAGGTATTTTGTAGGACTGTTCCCTGGGATTCTGCCTAACAGTCATTATGTCCTTTCATCATGGTCCCTGCTGAAAAGGTCAAGTGTATTTTAGTGACAGATACTCACTGCAGGATAGATGACATATCCCTCACTGTAGGCTAAGGCAATGCAATCTTAACAAGAAATACATTGTCCTCATTTCCATAACTGGGCAGGAATGAAGATTTTTAAAGTCATGTCAGTAAAATGATTTTCATTTTTGGAGGGACTGTTTATGTATGTAGACAGTACTAGATGCTCTCTAAAGATATGGACAGGAGGTAGGCCTTGTTTCTCTCCTTTGGAGGGGACCAGGGGAAGGGACTGAGGTGGGAGAGGGAGGTGCACCCAGTCAGGATAAGCCCCCCAGGGGCTGTCTTGCTGCGAAGCCCCAGCAGCTACTCCCCATGCTGCCCAGGATAGCACCTCCCAAGTCCAGAAAGCATCCGCGTGACCTTTGTGAGAACTTTCAGCCCCTTGCAGGTTTGGAGGGAAAGTTGCCACCTCTAAGAAGTAGCCTTCACAGATGAAGTGGTATATGATATTTTGAGGACAGTCTAACCCTTGCTAAGTTCAGTGAAGGAACTTGGTTCCAGAGCTGAACTGACATCTTTCTCATCCTGGCATTGTCATAACTTCTGTAGTGAAGGACTTCACTAGGCAGGTGTAGTAGGCTCGTGAAACTTGAGCCTCTGGGCCAGGTGGCCTCATGGAAAATACCTCTTCATGGGCCTTTTGTGTTCATGCTTTCTATTCAGTTCATATTGTTCTTGGAGAAATTTGCTTCTCCTCTCACGTTCTCACCCACACCCTCCTTGTCTTCCTTGTCTAGACTGTTTCTGTCCCCGCACTAAGCTGGTCTGCCCCAGTCCAGTACCCTCCCGCAATCCATTCTGTATGCCTAAGGGTTGGCAAACATGCGGGGTTTGTGCGCCGCAGAAAGTCTCTGTCGCAGTTTCTTTGTTTATGTGCTTCTTTGTTTTTAAACAACACTTCAAAATCTCTAAGCCATTTCCTACTTACTAGCCATCAAGAAACGAGCCATGGGCCAAATGGGACCCACGAGCTGTGCTTTGCTGGCCGCTGACACTCAGTGCTGCCCGCGACTTCCGACCTAAGCCCAGAACTGATGACATCACTCCTTCGAATGGAAGGTGTCCTGTGTTGCTTCGATTTCCGGTCTTAAGTTCCACCACTTTTTTATGGACCTTTCATGTTACCTAAACCAGTCTTCTTGCAGTTAATTTTTTATTGCCTGTTTCCCTTCATTCATTCAAACTCAGAGCTCTCTCGTTAGCCGTAACCAATGGACAGACACATATGTGCCCACGAATGCACATGAGCACACACATTCACATCTGCCCCCGCACACACCTAGCATGCACTGCATTCCTTTATTTGCAACTCTCTCGCGGTGCTCACCATTGATACCTTAAGTCATTTACGTATGTCTCTGCCTTCTCACGTGAGCTCCAAAGAGCGGAATCTGTGTCTAATTCATTCTTCTGTTTTCCCTGCGCTCACTCATCCCTTATCCGTCAGTAGCACAGCGCATACACAGCAGACACTCGATAAATCTTTATTTAATGGATGAGTGAATGAATTCAGAAGAATATACGTTAGCAAGGAGAGGTACGTATTTAATATCCATAAATCGCCTTAAAATCTCCGCTAATGCAGCATTACCGCTCCGTAGGGAGTCATAGATGTGCTTTATGGACTCTGGTTTCACTCCAGGCCATCTGCTTCAGTGATGGGCACTATGCCTGTGTTGTGGTTAGGAGGGGCAAACTCTAGAAGCAGACAAACCTGGGTTCCAACTCTGGCTTCATCATTCAAGGGACTTAACTCCATGAAGCCCCAGGACTGTCTACTTTAAAGATTTTATTTTTTATTATTTATTTGACAAAGATCACAAATAGGCAGAGGCAGGCAGAGAGAGAGAGACAGAGGAAGCAGGCTCCTCGCTAAGCAGAGAGCCCAGAGAGCCCAATATGGGGCTTGATCCCAGGACCCTGGGATCATGACCTGAGCTGAAGGCAGAAGCTTAACCCACTGAGCCACCCAGGCACCCCTGGACTGTCCACTTTAAAAGTGATAATAATACCCATGTGTTCTAGGATTGGCCACACTTCCTCGTCTTGGAACAGATACACTTGATTCTTTAAACACACACACACATAGAGAGACAAAAATTATAATACACCAAATGATCAAGACTGGCGCGAGGGTCTCACATGCCCTCCATCCATGTCCTGCCTTAGACGAGGCCGAGTGGAATACAGATGTCACTCATACAGCTTCCTGTCCTTGCTGGACAGTCCCAGGCTCCACCACTGGTGAATGTCCCCTAGATACATGGGAGGGCAACGGCGGAGGGTTGTCTGTGCCTTACCAATGAGACTCTGGGTGGAGATCTGTGTCTTTATGAGGTTGTAGCTAAAGTGCATGCTGATATCCCATCACACCCTCTGCCCCATGCGGGAAACTGAGGGATGACTTCCTACCCATCTTTTCACAGATTCATAAAAAATCAAGCAAACATGACTTCTGAACAAAGAGGTTTCTTCTCTTATTGCCAACGGCCCCTTATATCCAGGGAAGGACCACAAAGTCCTTGTTTGGAAATTCAATGCTTGTCAGACTCTTAATACCACGGGCCAGTGGCTGAGTGGTACTGGGCAGGTTAGGGTCTCAGTGTCGTGTAGGAGATGCTCCTGGAGACCCCGGTTACTCTATGGGCCTGACTTACTGAGAGAACTCAGCACTTCAGCATGGATAAAGAATGTTGGCTCAGTGGGTGGCTGGTAGGAAGTGCTGGATGACTTTTTGCTGTAATTGCATTTATTCTGCAAGTAACTATAGATACTAACCTGAGTGTAAGCACAGATGTCTACTCTTGCCCTTGTGTTTTTGTAGTCCTCACTAAAATTGTTAGTGAGGCACAATTTGAGGTGGGAGACTTGTCATCCCACCTTCAAGTTCCAGCTCCCCGCTTTGCTCATCTTAATGGACGGAGAATACAGACAACAGGAAACATACATGGAACTTCCTAATGGCCTCCCCATTGAACACCAGTGCCCAGACAAGCACAGTGAACCCCTATGGTCATGACGGAAGAAATGCTTCAAGTTGCAAAGGAAGGGGCTTTTTAGGCCAAATGGCTGAAAATCATAGAGTCATGTATCAAGTTTAAAAAACAGTTCTTGCACCTGAGTGGCTCAGTGGGTTAAGCCTCTGCCTTCGGCTCAGGTCCAGTGTCCTGGGATCGAGCCCTGC